TCTTATAACACCCAGGACCAACAGTTCAGTGTTGGGGAATATTACTATAACTATGTAAAAATGTGTTGGTGTTTCACCTTGCCTGCCTAAGGTATCTGGTCGAATAAAAAGCTGAACAGACAATAGCTAAGCAGGAAAGTGATAGGTAGGGAAGGTGGGGAGAAGGGAGGAGGAGTATAGGCTCAGGGAAGGGAGAAGAGAAGAAGGGAGAAAGAGGGGAAGACTCCCCAGGGCAGCCAGGCAGCTGCCAGACAGACACACACAGAGTAGAACATACAGAATGAAAGAAACAAAAGCCACAAGACAAAATGCAGATGAAGTAGAAACAGGTTAACTTCAGTTGAAAGAGCTAGTGTGACAAGTATAAGTGTTACCAGAAGTTTTCCCACCAGCCTGGTCCCATTGCTGTGTCAGCCCCAAATAACACACAGAGATGCTGTATTAGATATAAAACTGTTGGCCAGTTACTAGCATTTCTTATTGGCTAGCTCTATCTTAAATATTAACTCATTTGTATCAATCAAAGTATTTCTACGTGGTCTTATCTTACTGGAGAGAGGGTCCGGAGTTTTGCTCTCTTGGTCCTACATTTTGAATCTCCTCCTACCTCTTCCTGACTCCTCCTTGTCTCCTAGTCCCACCTATCTTGCTTTCCTATTGGTCAACAGTGCTTTATTCATTAATTAATAAGAGAAACATATTTACAGAATGCAGAATTACATTTCCCATCATCTCCTCTTTTCTGTCTAAAATAAAAAGAAGGGTTTTAATCTTAACATAGCAAAATATATAACAAAACAGTTATCAAATAAGAACCATAGTTAACAATGTTCAGTCTGTTAACATTTAGCAAGATTTAAAGAAAATATTCTATCATATATCCTATCTTTGTGAGTCTAAATCTTATATGAAACTTATCTTTAATCCTAACTAAGGAAACTATAACCCTAACTATCTGTCTTCAACTCCTTCAAAGACCACAGAAGGATAATATATAAATTCTATAAATGACATAGACAACTCGCTGCCTGGTCAGTCACCAGAATTTCTTCTGTAATGTTCCATCTTTAGCCTATGGGCCCATAATGTGTCTGTCAGACTCCTCAGCAAAGCAGGAAACTTTAAACTGTATTGGCAGTTTGTCAATCACTTTTCTCTGTATCCTGTAGACTGTCTGGCAGACTCTTCCATGAAGCAGGAACCCTGTAGCAATGTCCATCTTGTATCAGCAGTCATTTTCCTGTGGGTCCTGTATGTCCAGTTTATACACCTTAAAGTCAAACAGTCCAGACAAGAGCAGTATCTTGCCCAAATGGCTAGTCTTGTCATATTGAAAGCAAATTTCATAACAAATTTCTTCAATGTCCATCTTCCTTTCTGACACAGGTGGTGTTGCCAGGAGCAGTTGTGCCTCACTGTTAAGAAAAACCCTAAACCATTTTAAATGCCATATTTTGTAGGTCTTTGAAATATTTGAAGAATATTTATCCATCTCAAATATGTCTCTATATATCTAGAAAAACCCAACAAACTTAACTATAAGTTTTGATTATTCTAGGTAAAACCTAATTAAAGTTTTGACTATCATAGGTAACTATCTAAAATCTGTACTAAATTATATATTTTTAAATGAGCTATATAAACACAATACCTAAACTAGAGGAGAAATATACACATCACAAAATTGACCTTAAATTTGTATCAATAAATGAAAGTCCATTCCAAAACAAAGTAATTATTTCTATACCATAATGCCCTTTTTACCTTTAAAAAGATTAGTTGTGGTCATTAACCATTTATAACCAATCCCATTTAAATTAAAACAAATATTTATAAACAATTTTTGGAAATTTGGGCATCGTTCTTTCCAAACTGCTTCCTGATGGTAGGGGGTGCTGTCATGAGGATCCTAAGAAATCCTGGCTGTAGTGCTCTGCAAGGCTGCCTTGTCCCAGCTGTTTTGAATGTTGGATCACCTGGGACACTGCTTCAAGGGGTCTTGCTTGATCAAACCATGTTAGTCTGGAAGGAATCCACAGCTTTTTATTTTCTGTGGAAACAAAAATAGAAATTATTTTCCCCAGTAACCTGTCCTTGGATTTAAATTTGGAAGTCAAAGCATTTTTTAAATATAAAAATTAGATTAATTTAGCAGCATTGATAATCAAGTGTATTGTAGCAATTATTCCTTCCTTAGTAATTGAGCGATTTAAAAACAATGCAATAGCATACAGTATCCAGACCCTTCCCGTGGTTTTTTATTACTCTATTTCTTTTTTATAATTTATTTTTATTTTATATGAATTGGTGTTTTGCCCTCTGTGTGAGGGAGTTGGGTCCCCTGGAACTGGAATCACAGACAGTTCAGAGCTGCCATGTGGGTGCTGGGAACTGAACCCGGCTCCTCTGGAAGAACAGTCAGTGACCTCTGAGCCATCTCTCCAGCCCCTACTCTATTTCCTTTACCTTTATTTTTTTCATTTTTTGAGACAGGGTTTCTCTGTGTGACTTTGGCTGCCCTGGAATTTACTCTGTACATCAGGTTCACTTTGAAGTCACAGAGTTCTGCTTGCCTCTGTCTCTAGAGTGCTGGAATTAAAGGTGTGTGCCATCATACTCAGCTACTCTCTTTTTTAACTGTTTTTTAAACCACTTTATCCTGTTTCTTTTTCTCTCCCAAGCCTACATATATTTTAAAACACACTGTAAACCTTTAGAGGGTTTTTTTTAATCTGAATCTGATAAGGCTGAGCATTCGGGATTAATAATAAGTCTCCATGTCATGATTAGGGAGCAGGTTGGTGGCTCGAAAGAAAGCCTGCTACAGTCCAGGGATAGCAACACTCAAAATAGGCTAGCTCCTCCACCATCAATCATTAAGAAAATGCCACACAGGCTTGCCTACAGGTCAACCTAATGAGGGCTTTTTCTTAATTGAGAGTCTGTCCCTCTTTCAAAATGACTCTAGCTTATGTCAAGCTGATATCACACACACTCATTACATTTGTGAAGAGAACACACCCCACAATGCTAGCACAAATTTCCATATTTGTTATTTCTTTATTGCTGTGCTAAAATGTCATGACCATGCAACCTATAGAAGGAAGAGTTTGTTTGGACTTACTGCGTGATGGGAGCACACCAGAGGTGACCACTCAGACAGGTCACATCCAGCTGAAAGTCTTCATCCCAGCTGGCTGGGACTACATCCAGGTACTCAGGGACCCACATGAACTATACTCAGGCACTCAGGGACCAGGATGAAGCCCCAAGTGTCTGGAGTGTGGAGCTCTTGAATGCAAAAACCACATCCTGGCATTGTGATCCACAGCTGCAGGAGACTTCACATAAGCATACAGATTAACAGAAGTTAAGATGAGCTACCTGAGGCATCTTGACCTCAGGTGCCTAGCTAAAACAGAGCTGGGTAATTTTCCATGGGATTCTCCATCAAGATCAAATTCTAGTTAAATCTGAAATGTCCTCGGTGAGAACACGAGATGGAGGAACCTCTGCACCATCTTGCCCTGTCACAAGTGATCCAGAGGGACAAGACTCCAGAAGCACAGTGTTGTGGTGGAGTAATACACTATGAAGAAGTATCACACTGATTGGTCTATAAAAAAGCTGAATGGCCAATAGCTAAGCAGGATTTGCCGACACAGAGGACACTGGAAAGAAGAAGGAAGAGACACAGAGCAGGTAGGATGAACAATGTGAAGATGAAGTAATAAAGTCACAAGGCAGAAAGCAAATTAAAATACAGCCACAAGGCAGAAAGAAGTGGGTTGATCAAAGTTATAAGAGCTAGTTAGAAACAAGCCTAAGATATTGGCTGAGCTTTTATACTTAACCTTAAGTCTCTGTGATTACTGGAGAGCTGATGTTCCCAATGAAAAGTCTGTCTACACAGTGGCTGGAGCAGGAACCTGGGAGCTTATGTCTTGAGCCACAAGCAGGAAGCAGAGAGGGTAATCTGAGAATGATGCACGGTTTGGGATCTTCAAAGCCCACCCCAAACCAACCAAAACCACAGCTAACTGGGGACCAAGTATCCAAACATAAGGGACTACAGGGGATATTCTCATCCAAAACACCACACTTGGCTACAAAGAGAGTTCCAAGCCAGCCTGAGTTAGATAGATAGATAGATGATAGATAGATAGATAGATAGATAGATAGATAGATAGATAGATAGATAGGAGATAGATAGATGATAGATAGATAGATAGATAGATAGATAGATAGATAGATAGATAGATGGATAGATAGAGGCAGTAAACACTTAAAATATATAAAGCCATCCTTTAGAAAATATAAGTTGTCATAGTTATATATTTATTTGCTGTGTATTAGTGTGTTTGTGTGTGAGAGAGACACTCAAATATAGATATCAAGGAATTTATGAAAGATGTCATTGACAACTGATAAGATGATAAGGTTGGTTCATGGACACTTGATGAACAGTTTATTATCCACAGAGTAGGGCCACTGGAAGTTACCTATGGTCTAGCAACCCCACTACAAGGAACAAATCCAGAGGACAGGAATTCCTGTGTCAAAGTCATCTGCTCCCCTTATTCACTGCACACTGGTTACAAGGGTCTACATACAGGTCAGACCCTAGGTGCCCATGACCAGACAAATGAATTAAAACAATGTCCATCATTTAACTAAAACCGGGTTCATGCCATTTAACACCAAAAGGAACATAAAGGAACATGCCTCCCGTAGCTGAAACCAGCTCAAGCAATAGTCAGGGCTCATTTGCTGCCTGAACACAAAGCTTGGATCACCTGCTCCACACCCACACCTCAGACTCAGACCTGAGAGCATTAGGTCAAGGCTCCAGGCCCCTCCAGGACTCATCCTGGGGGCTTTGCCTATGGCCTCTACAGTCCCACAAGAAGTCACACTGGCAACTTAAAGGCAGTGATCTGCATAAAAGTGCAACCAGGATGAGGAATGGGGATTCTTCCCCTGGGGAAGTGTCAATACCACTAGCACCTGTGGGGAGCCCCTCCCCTAGGGGATTCAGAGACTCCATCAAAGGAAACAAACATGGCTTTTTCCAACTCTTTCCCCTCTTCCTCCTCTTCCCACTCCTCTCCTTCCTCCTCCTCCTGCTCCTACCCCTCTTCTCCATCACACCCCTGTGCAATGGAGCAGAGAATCATACAAACAGTTCCGGACTTAATCCTGAAGTATGGATAAAGAGTCCCAGAGAAGGAAGCTTCGTGGAAGGTGAAAATGTGGGACAAGTCACTCATGTTATAGAATGAAATGTCACCTTCACTGTAGTTCACAAACACCCCCACACGCTGGGGAGATGCCCTAAAAGATAATGAAGTCCTCCCAGTATCAATATAGGCCCAATATCCACTACTGACCGTCCCACAGTCCAAAACCCCTTATCTGGACTCTCAAAGTACAAGCCTTCTCTCTTCACACCTTCCCGACAAGCCCCCAGAATCCACTTGCTGCTGTCTCCATTCTTTATCTCTACCTCCCAGTAACACCTTCCAGAGGAGATGCCTTCCATGCCTAACACACAGAAGAGGTCATCAAGACACATAGTGGTATCCTTTCGAGACACATGCATCCTGTCCCGGGAGATGTCAAGGATGGGGTGGGCAGAGTCTGGATCCAGAGTGACAGGCCCTGCAGGAGAGTCAGCAGTCACAGGAGGTCCTTTCCAGACCCCAAACAAGGCCACAGCTGCCCCACCTCCACCTCAGGGCCTCTCAGTATCTTCTAGAGGGGCAAGTCCCTCACAGAACAGCCTGTGCCTCAAGCCCATGGCTTGCAAACAGGGGAAGGGGGCAAAAGGCTGACTACGGGTTACAAGGTCACAGGACCCTTGTAAACCAGACCTGGCTTAGTGGCTGCCACCCCTGCACCTGTCACCACCTGGGTCACCACAGAGAATTGGCGACACCAGAGCAGTGGGAAGAACAGGAGTGTCCCTAAGGAACACAGAGTCACTCACAGGCCTGGAAGTGCTCCTTTCGCCAATCTACAAGAGAAGCACAGGTCATGTGAGCAGATTCAGACACTGCACCCATCTGGTCAGCAGCTGTAACACAGACCTGGGAGTTGTGGGGACAATATACCACCTGTCATATAGAGAGAGACATGTACACACACAGAGAGATACACACACACACACACATACACACGCATACACATGTATAAATAAACATAGAAACATACACAAAATGACCCATATACATATATACATATACACACGCATACATACACACACACACAGAGGCATACACATACACATCACACACACCACCTATACATACATGCACACACTGCGAGAAACATTCACATACACAATTATATATAGAAACACACATATACACAAACACACCCACATGCTCATACACACAGTTTTGGGAAGGGCCTTATGAATTCTTATCTGCAAATAAGCAGTAATTCTCTGTAGGTCCATGGGAGAGAGACCTCATAAGCCACGCCTACCTCCATGGCAAAGAAAACTAATGGGCTCAGTCATCTAGCAGTCTCGTTTGGGAAGTCACAGCTTCGGACAGCTCAAGAGGACAACAGCTACCTTATGCCAACTAGCTTTTAGTGAGCTTGACACAAGGTGGGGTCATCTGGGAGGAAGAAATGTGAATACAGAAAATGCTTCCACAGGATTGGCCTGTAGGCAAGGCTTGGGGCATTTTCTGGATTGATGGGTGACTGATGATAGATATGGAGAACCCAGCCCATGCTGTGTTGTGTCATCTCATGGACGGTGGTCATACAGTGTATGAGAAGAGAAACTGAGCAAGCCAGGAGGAGCAATCTGGTACACAGCACTCCCCGAGGATGCTGCATCAGCTCCTGACTCCACTCCTGACCTGTGTGACTTCCCGCCCTTACTTGCTGTGGTGAGGGACTGGAAGTGTGAGTCACACAAACTCTCCTCTCAAGTTGCTTTTGGTCATGGTGTTTCAGCACAGCAGGGGAAACTCTAAGACACACGTTCCACTCAGATAATAGCAATCTACAACAGTCACGTACCTGCATACAGCTGGGCCTTCCTCCAGGCTGTAAAGGAACATATTCTCCTGAAAAGCCAATTAGAACAGCCCCACTAAAACAGACCCTAACCTGACCCTCCCTCCATTCTAAAGGTGAGCCTTGAGCTAAGAGGCTCCTGCAAGATGCAAAGGCAGCAGAGAACTGTGGGAAATTCCCTGCATCACAGATGGGAAAGAAGGTGTTACAGGATAAGTTCACCCACTGTAAGACTAAGTTCACCCACTGCCCCAGTGCTGTCTTTTTAGCTATCAAATAGCTGCCTCATTAAGGATTCAGGCATCATGCTGGCCTGCCCCTGTCACCTGGCAGAATGCACTCAGGCACTACCCTGGTCAGCCCAGGGTTCCATGATTGCATAGTCTGCACACAGGTACAAAAGGCCCCTTTAAAAGACAGAACTCAGCTTCAGTGCCTGCTCCAGGTTTCTGCCTTGAGTTCCTGTCCTGGCTTTCTTCAGAGATGGACTGTGATGTGAAGATGTATAAGACAAATAAATCCATCCTGCACAAGTTGCATTAGGTCATGGTATTTTATGATAGCACTAGAAACCCTAACTTATACACCTTCTTTAATAAAATTTAAATACCACTACTTGGCTCCCAGATGCAGGCAATAGTCTAGAGCTAATGGGGCCAAAAGTCAGCAATACAGTAGACAGAAGCTGGTAGGAATAGACCAAGGGCACAGGACACACCAGGAGTCACATGCCTTCCAGCTCTGGGCAGAGATCTGAAGGACCCAGAAACCAAGCTTCCCCCTCCCAGAACTCTCCACTTCTGTCCCCTAAAGGGGTTCCCTTTCTGCCTCGAATCAAGGAGAGGGCACAACTGGCCACATGTGCCACAAGGAACCATGTGACATTGGAGCAGTCACTCACCAGCCATGTAAGCTGCCTTCCTCCAATCTGAAAAACAACACACCGGAATCAAGTGAGCTGTTGGGCTACTGAGGGGCACAGGGTCAGGAGGAAAAGCATGACTCACCGAGCTCCTCCTGGAGTGTGCCTGAAAGACAGTGAGAAGAGGGGGCAGTCCACCATTTTGTTTCCAAGGAGTGTAAACCACAGACCAGCTGACCCCCAGGACTCCAGCCATCCTCTCTGGGCTTTCTTGGCCACCTACACTGATCCCAAAACCCTGGATCTTCCTGGAGACACTGGCCCAGTCCTTTCTGCTGTCATGACTTACTTATGGTTGTCAGTGCATCCTCTTTTGTCTTCTGGTGTGCCTCCTTCTCACACTGTAGATTCTCCCATTCCTGGCACAAATGCAGCCTCGTACAATGTTGTTTTCTGAGAAAACAGCATGACCCTAAGACTAGAAGTCCCATAATGGTCGTGATGACAACAAAAGCTGACATCCAAGGAGAACCCTGAGGGAAGAAGGGCTCTGTGGCCCAGGCAGAGAGACAGTGAGTGGCACACCTGAGGACGGCCAGCCCAGCACACTCCAGGACAGACATCCACTTCCCAAGCTCTGTAGAAGTGAGAAACAGCCCTCACCTGGAATGACCATGGGCATGGCCTTCTCCTGGCCCAAGATGGGATTGAAGGCAGAGCAGGTCACATTCCCCAAAGAGCTGTTTCTCACCACCAATGTAGACTCCATGCTGAACAGCCCCTCAGCATCTTCAGTGTGGGTCTCAGAGAATGCTGGGAGCTTCTCCCCTCTGGGTTCTCTCCACTGCACCTGGGGCTTTGGGTACCACCCTGAAGCCCTGCACACCACACACACACACACACCACCATCTTCAGGACCTTTGATGTGCACTTCAGGGACAGAGCCCATCGCTGCAGGAGGACACATGTGAAGACCCTAGAAGTCCCTCTGGGATGAGAGACCCCAGGAGCACCTGTGTCTCTCATGAAAAACTCTCACTGGAAACATAGGTATTGAAGAGGAAAAGCACTCCTGGCTTTGGACAAGGTTGACCCCCTATTGTCCAACAGAAGAAAGATAACAGGGTCCACTATGGGGAACAGAGCAAAGGCCACTCCTCTGTCAAACCCACAGGAAAGGAAAAGAGTTGAGCCGTGAACACCTGTGAACCCCAGGAGAGCAGACTCATACACAGCTCCTCCCTAGGAAGACATCGCCCTGAACATCCTTCCTTACTCAGTCATTTGTCTTGAGCATTGATCATCATTTAACTTCTCATTGGTTCAGTTTAATTTTTCTACCTACTCCTCTAAAATATGAATTCCAACAGCTGGTATTTTATATGACACTGACAGTATCCCTGGTCCCCAGAGCAAGGACCAGCATCTTTTAGGAACTACACATACAGAATTTAGAAAAATTAGCCTATATATGAAGGTGCCATCTATTTTTCATCAAAAAAAGGAAATATAAGACAAAATAGAAATAAAAATGAGAGGCCAGTGCCATGTGTGATGGAATGTGCCTGTGAGCCCAGCATTTAGGATGAAGCAAGAGACTCCAATGTCCAGGGTCATCCTGGACCACAAGACTGGCTTAATGCATCTAATCTACATGAGACCTCGCTCAGAAATAAATTAAGAAGCAGAGTGACATGATCCCTAAGTTTCCTCCCACACATAGTTCACCCAACATCTTTAGAACAGGGATCCATAACCAACCTGCCACCTTCAGCTCCAAGATGGCCTCTTCATAGAGGAGACCCCGTTTGAAGAAGCAGACATAAATCCCACTGTCTGACTCCTGAACATGTCTGATGCGCACGGCAGCCTTGCCTTCCTGGAAGTGGTCCTTCACCAGGGAAGTCCGCCCTGAATACTCAACCCTCTGCTCTTCTTTCTGCGCTTGTTGGTTCCGATAGACAAATATGGCTCCTGAGAATCTGGCATGGAACCACCTGAGCTCCTCCATGTTCTCCACACTCATGGCTGGAAACAGGGAGCAGGGAAGTATGGCTTCCCCACCTGGAGCAACCACAATGGGGTCTGAGGGACCAGACACCGTGAACTCTTCTGTGGACACAGATGCAGCAGTTAGAGGACTGGAGAGGCACATTGAAAGCAGTGAAGACACGCCATAAAGTGGGTGACCTGGGGGCAAGGGGCAAATGCTGGAATAGGCATCTTTGACTAATGTACAAGAGATCTTCAGACTATGGCAATGTAGCCAATGAATGATGACAGAAACTCTCTCCTTTGCCTGTGGCCCCGGTCCCAGAACCTTTCAGTAAAACATCACTTGTGTGTTCTTTCTTTAGCTTTCACACACCTGGTCCCCAGTGTATCTTCCAGGTAACTGGATCTCAGCCCAGAGCACCAGCTTTAGTAGGTCTGGGGTGGGCCCAATGTCATGCATTTGTAATGGTCCCTGCAGATGCTGATACCTTAAGACATACAGCACTACCTCTCTCAGAAGCTAGTTTAGAATCGCTTCATGGTTAAACCATACCCAGGAAACTCCCATTCCCAAACTCTAAATGCCATATATCAGCCCACATGTTTTTCCACTGAACTATATGTGTTCATCGATCAAGGACCTAGAAAGATGTCTGAGCAGGAAAGAGCACTGGTTACTCCTCCAGAGAACCTGGGTTCGATTCCCAGCACCGCATGGTGACTCATAACTGCTGTAACACTCTTCTAGACTCTGTGGGCATCAGACATGAAGGTGGCACACATTCATACATTCTGGGAAAACATACATACACATGAGATAAAATTCGTGAAAAAGGCACTAGTACCCCCAGAAGCCCCAATCACATCTTTGTAAAGAACAAAGATGGCCTACCTCACTCTGTGTGCCCTTGGCCCAATAGGCCTAGATATCTTCTATGCAGACACTGTGAACTCCTAAACAGCTACCCATCACTGTGTGCTACTCCATTTTGGGTCTGACCCATTGTCGCCACTCAATAGACCAGGACTCCTGCCTGCTGCCTTACAACCCCCATATCTGTGACCTTTTTCATGCATCAAAGCCACATCCCTGCTCTGTTCAAAGCTCAGTCATGGCTCTACAGAGCCCACCATGGATCACAAGGCCCTACAGGACTGCTCCCAGCTCAGGACCTCACACCTGCAGGACCTCCCACCCTCAGGCCCTGCTTCTCTCCCTGGCTCACTGTGCTTCAGCCAACACTGGCCTCTGCAACTCCTCACACCCCAGGCACACTGCCAACTCTAAGGCTACATCCACAACTATGCTCCAACTCTAAGGCTACGTCCACAACTATGCTCCCCAGGTGGGGTGTGGCTATGGAGCTCAAGCTGGCCAAGGACTCACGATTTTCCAGTCTCAGCCTCTGGAATGCTGTTGCAGACATGCTCAGTCTAGCTTTTTATTACTAGTGCACTACAAAGGGAACTCTGTGAAAACCTGGTCCAGATATAAATGAGTTCCATGCACATGGGAGCAGCTTAACACCTGGCTGATCCCACTCACTAAAGGGAGACATGGGAAGAGAAACCAGGACACACTCACTTGTGGACACCCAGGTAAGCAGCTGTTCAAGGACAAGCAGGCAGGTAAACTGGTAGAGCAGAGAGTTCTTGCAGCAATTTTCCATGTCCTCAGTGCTGGGAGGAAAACACAGACTGGGAACAACAAGACTCTTGGGCAGCAGGCAGGAGGCACATTCCACCCAGAGCTTGGGCACCTCAGCAGGGAGAGCATCGCTCAGGCCTGGTGTCAGCACCACTGGACAAGACACATCCACGTTAACAGAGTAAAGACCCCCACAACCCAATACTGAAAAGCATCTATGCTGGGGTTTCTCCAAGCCCTGCAGAACACAACTGGGGAGCTGGAGACCTCCAAGTCATCTGAGAGGAAGCCATTCCTTCCCTTCCCAACCCAGTCCTAGCGACAGTGCAGCCAAGCTCTGCCCAGACACCTAGGCCCTGCCTTTCTCAGCACCTTGAGGAGAGCCCAGAGTAGTCACCATCACTCCAACTCTCCATTATCCACATAATGCCTGTGACCTCCAAGACAAAGAACCTATATCCAGTCCCTCCCTCAGGAATAGCTTGGCAGCTGCCAGTGTTTCTACTATTCCATAATTGGGACCAGGCATCATCTGGGCAGTCTCAGAGACATATTCCCAGAAGGCTGTGGTGCCCATCACAAGGGCCTTGTCCTGGCTTTTGGTTGTGGAGTTTGTCCACACTTCAGTCCCAGCACAGTCCTTGTCGTGGCTCCAAGCCATCATCCTGCACTCAGCAGGTGACAAACACATCCCACAGACACATTTATCCCCATAGTCTCAGTCATAATAAAGACCCTGCATTGTGTAGACAGACTCGAAAAGAACATTAATAAACCCTAGTCTGCCCCCAAAACCTGCCCTTTGGAAGATTAGGGAAGGGGGCAACCTAAAGACCTGACAAGGACAAACTCAGCTACCTCCAGGTTCAACCACCAGGGATGTGACCCACTGGGACTTACTGTACTTAATCTTGTCTCTGGTTCCCTTCTCGGGCTCCCAGTTGTCTTCAAATCCAACTTACCTGCTTTTCTTTGCTCCCGGCTTTGAAAGGCTGTGACTTCATGGAGGACAGCTCAGTGCCTTAGGGGACCCAGCAGACCCCAGATCTTCCTCTCAGAGTTCAGCCCTGTTTCAAGGTGTTCTCACAGCTCTAAGCACAGCTCCTCCCAATGCCAGGTCCAGTTTACACATCTCCAACAGGTTCATGGTTTCTAGTCCAGCAGACAAGAAGCAGAGCCTGGCACAAGCTGTCATGGCCTGTGCAGAGACTTTGACATGGCCTTTTCCAGCAGAGCCCTCACGGCCAACAGAGCAAGTGGAGGTTCAGCCATCAAAACTGAAAGCTGAAGTAATGGGACGGGGTGTGTTTCCTTCTGCATGTTTCTTTCTCTATCAGAAAGAGGTGAAAGTCCACTGCACAGCCCCAGCCCTCCCCCACCCCTGCCACCGCCAGCCCTGCCTGCTGAGGTTCTTCCTGAGGAATCAGCATGTAAGGAAATGTTAAGGGTGACAGAGAGAAGGAAACAAACCCTCACTGAATCTCTATTAAGCATCAGGGCTATGTCCATCCCTGGCACAACCACAAGGAGAGGTGATGCCATGAGCCCTGTCCTAGGTCTCCTTGCTACTAAGATGAGTATTTACTAGAAACCCTGTAGTCCCTGTCCTCACCCCCCTCATCCCCAGCCCTGCCCATCCCCCACTCAGGCCATCACAAGACTGCAAGGGACCTCGGACTCCAGGTGCTTTGATAATTATTACAAACCTTATCTCCTCCTGGGTCCCCAGCGTATGACTTCCACAGGGGGGACCCTTCTTTGGACTACCCTAAAAGTGTATGAAAGCTAGGCTAGGCTGGAGAGATGGCTCAGCTGTTAGCTCTTTCAGAGGACCCAGGTTCAGTCCCCAGTATCCTCATTGGGCGTTTTCAACCACCTTTAACTCTAGCTCCAGGGATCCATGCTGTGTCCAGACCGGCTGGAAACTGAACACACGAGGCATATGCTCACAAAGATATACACATACACATAAGTAAAATAATAAATCTGTTCATAGGTTTGTTATACAGGACGTCTCAGCCTCATTTCCTAAGCCTCTTCTGCCCCCTTGTGGCCAGTCAGTTTCTAGCTGGACACGTAAGGTGCCCATTGGTTTTCCTGTTACACACTTTGTTGAGGAATGGCAGTGGTGTGGCCAGGTCATGGGGTCCGAGGAGAAGTCCATTTGTATCTATTATAACTGTCTCTCCCACTGTGACTGGGAAAGTTGGAGGACATGACATTGGTGACCAGAGATCCTTTCTAGCAGACAGATTCCCTTCCAGCCTGAAGCTGGACTCTGAGGGCAGGCTGACCCAAGTCTATGCGACACCATGCAGGCACTCCTAGCCTAGAGACTGGTGTGAACCAAACATGTCAAGGAGAATAGGCTGTGAGGAGATGGGTCAGCTCAGTCAGCTAGGCTGTCATCTTCAGTGGCACACTACAGCCTGAACCCGCCCACACCATACACCATTGCCCTCTCAACCCTCACCCAGTCAGCTTCTTCACCCACAGCAGGTCCTGGACAGACCCCCCACATACACATCAATCACCTGCTATCCCGCCCATGCCACACCTCAGCTCTATTACCTCCCACTTCTGCCCTTCCTGTCTTAATCCCCAACCTCCTGACCAAACCCACCCAGATCTCTGAGCTGTGGCTTCAACTGTGAGGGCTTGCTTCCTGTAAAGGCAGAAAGAGCACTCTGGTTCCATGGCCCTCTACACTCAGCAAGTGTTTGCAAAGGTTCAACAGAGTGGTAGAAAGACAGGCAAGAAGTGCAGATGTGCAATCCCTTTGGGTCCCTGGGGGATGAAGCTTGAAGACATTTACTGAGTTTGTTTGTTTGTTTTATTCATCCTGTTAATCCTGCTTAAGAATTCATATATGCTTATAAATATTTTACACTTACAAATGTGTCATATATTTTAATTCCTTCCTCATATTAAATGGTAGCACAATTATTTTTTCCTCCATAGAAAAAAATTAAAAACCCATCTGATTATCTTCAACTTTTGCCTACTCATATGATTATTTCTAAATTTAGAACAGAGGATTTTAAAAATATTGGACCTTGTGTATCCAATAAAGACTGTTTGAGTCTATACTTAGGGTGTGACTAATCTTCCTGGGAAGTGGTAACCCCAAAAGCTTCCCAGCCTGGAGTTTCATAGGACAGTAACTGATACTCATCAAGTACCCCGAGGGACTGGCTCATCCATCTCTCCCAACCATTCAGTCAACACACACTCCAAACCCAGGCCCTCCAAAGTCAAATAGCATGACAATCAAAGGAGCTGGCTCACTCACTGACTTGGGGTGTGGGCATGATCTGCCTGAGGGCCTCTCCTTCCCCCGTGGATCCCAGCACTGAGGAACAGGGCATTTCCGTTAACCATTCCCTCCTCCTAGGACAGATGTTCCAGAAGAGACCCATATTGTTAAAGATAATGCCACACTGGGTTTAGCTAATGTGAGGGAAGTGGATTCTCTTGGGTGGCTGCGGGAATCAAGCTGAGCTCGGTTCCTTTGTGTGCAGAGATGGAGCAAGCGGGGTATGTACGGTTGTCAGTTCCCACTGTTGACTGGATGGGGAATGGCCAAGAAGACACACCCCTAGGAGACTCTGTTTCCAAGGATATGTAACTGAGAAGGGAAGAGCCACCCTGAATGTGGTCACACCAACCCATGGCCAGGGTCATTGCCACATAAAATAGGAGGAAGCTCGCTGAGCCTCAGCATCCATCTTGCTTCCTGACTGTGGGTAGGAGGCGAGCTGCAGCTTATGCTCCTGCTGCCCTTCCGACAGGCTTCATTCCCCTCAGACTTTGAGCTAAAATAAAGCTTCCCTTCCTTCCTTAAGTTGCTTTTCTTGGCTATTTGGTTAGAACAAGAAAAACAACTTAACTTGTAGAGCCTAGGTGGGGGGGGGGGCCTGAGTGAGAAGCAGAAAGAGCTGTCAGGGTAGAAGTGCCCGGGCCAGCGGTGTGGCCAGCAGTGCTAGCTGATGTTAGCATCCTGTCCTCCCAAGAGATCAGGACACACAGGCTGTCCTTTGGATGACGGCACTCAAAGGAATGGCCTTGGGCCTGTGAGAAGCATCTGAGTTTCATTTACAAGGAGAACCTCTCTTAGTCCGTGCCCATATAACGCAGACCAGGCCCTGGCTGGTAGGTGATGGTGAGGACAAAGTTTAAACTTTCCTGGACACTTTGAGTGTGCACTGTAGGGGAATTTGGGTCACCTGGGGGACACTGGCTTTTGCTAGTCTGGTCAGTTAAGTCTCTTGGGGCTGGCAAGGTGGGAAGGCAGAGTCCTCATTCTGTGGTTCTCACTGTCATGACATCAGCTCCAGAGCCACTGTCCTCTGGGTGTCACTTCTCAGCCAGAGCAGACTCTTGACAAAGAGCAGATCTGTCACGTGAGAAGTGGGTGGGTGCCTGTAAGACAGCAGACTGTGGGGAGACAGGCCACCTAAAGGCTCTCTGAGGAGGAAGGGGGTCACTTCAGAATTCAGGAAGGGAACATGGCTCACTTCTGTTAATAAAAAGGGCAAATCCCAGTCATGCCAAAGCCTGCCATTTCTTGATTACTCGCTGTGTGCTAGACTCCTGTATGCTCTCCCAAGTCCATTTACACCAACTCATTATCTTTTCCCTAAAGATGAAGCCACTGAGTGCAGCTAAGGGAAGAACCCAGACACTCTTAAATTTTTCCACTTATGGCCCATTTCACCCCAACGTGTCTACACGACTAGAGAACAGAAGTACATAAAATAGGTATATTTCCTCCAAATCCATTACCTACTGATACTATGTCACTTATTTCAAAGTAATTCTTTGGTGTGCATCTAATTTTACCATTATTAAAGGAAAATCCCTTTACTGTTTAATCTATCCTTTCTCTTTTCAAAGAGAAAGATGTGTTTTTATTTATTTCTTAGATGTATATATGAGTACCTACAGTTAGTGTACCACTGTATGCATGCAGTATTCATAGTTGCCACAAGAGGGCATGACATCCCCTGGAACTGTAGTTACAGATGGTTGCAAGCTGCCATATGGTCACTGGGTACCAATCCAGAATCCTCTGCAAGAGCAGCCAGTGCTCTTAGCCACTGCATCATCTCCCCAGCCCCTTAGTCTCTTCAGATGCACAAGAAGCAGTCCAGAAAGAGAGGCATAAATTGGACTCCATGTGTAACAAGACAAGCCACAAGCCACATTTGTCCCCGGGGAAGAGAAGGAAGGCATTGGGCTGTTTGTATAGAAGCCTCTGGCCAGATGGTTCTCCTTCTATCCATTTAAGTTAAAGGAAATAGAGAAGGGAATGCAACTCAAGCATAGAGCACTTACTTCACTATGGGCAGTGTCCTGGGTTCTATTCCGAGCACAGAGACAAACAATTGAAGGCTGAGGTAGAGGGTTTGTCTTACAAGCACAAGGTCCTAGGTTTGAACCTTAGCACTGCATAAACCAGGGATGGCATTACCCACTTGGACACTGAAACTCTTGAAGCACAAAACAGTGGGCCTGAAACACATCATCACCCTAGACTACACAGTGAGTTCAATGCCAGCTTGAACTACATGAGATCCTGCCTCAAAGGTAAATTAAAGGGGGCTGGAAAGATGACTCAGAGCTGGCTGCTCTTCCAGAGGTCCCAGGTTCAATTCCCAGCAGCCACATAGTGACTCAAAACCATCTGTAACTCCAGTTTCAGGGGATGTGATGCCCTTTCCTGGCCACAGACATACATGCAGGCCAACACCCATACACCTAAAATTAAATTTTAAAAAAATTAATGTGGCCAGGCGGTGGTAGTGAATGCCTTTAATCCCAGCACTCAGGAGGCAGAGGCAGGTGAATCTCTGTGAGTTTAGACCAGCCTAATCTACAAGAGCTATTTCCATGTCAGCCTCAAAGCCACAGAGAAACCCTGTCTTGAAAAAAAAATAATGTGGCTGGGAGGTGATGGTGCATGCCTTTAATCCCAGCACTCAGGAGGCAGAGGCAGGAGTTTGATGCCAGCCTGGTCTAAGAGTGAGTTCCATGACAGCCAGGGCAGTTACACAAAAGAAACCCTGTCTCAAACAAACAAAAAAGG